GTGTGGAACCTCATTCATAGCTACTGGTATGTTCCCGAATTCTACTCCCATTCATAGGTGATTTTTAGGCTTCTAGACATCTTGGAGTGCCTTGCACTTCTGATAAACTCTCTCCAGGTTCTGCCATATTTCCGAGTTTATCTTTAAGAAACTGTTGTGCTGATGGGATGATTGAAAGGTTAGAGCTCCAATTTTGGCTACTTAGAAAGATAATCTGCCAACAGCTGAGGATGGCAGGAGGTTTTAACTCCAGCAGTTTCTTTCTCCTAGAATAATAAGCAGAGGCATCTCTGCCAGACTTCTTTGGCATTCTATCTTATTTGGGTTCAGAGCTTGAAGTTTATGTTAAACGGCCAAATACATTTTTTCCAGTGCATGTATGATGTGGCTAATGAATTTTCCCTGGATTTTGCTATCTAGTCTTCTCTTAAATTTAGTTTTGAGCAGGTTATAAAATCTTTTTAAGACTTACTATTCGCACTAAACAGACTTATGTAAACTGGATTTATCTTCCTACTTTAGACACCAAAACGTGAACACAATATATTAAACAATTTTTAGCAAGACCTTGGGCACCAAGGAGTGATAAAAGTGTCTTCTGAGAGGTAGAAAATAGATCTGTAAGTCTTACAGTTTCCCCAGATTACACACAGCAAGAGACTTAAGAGAATTTCTGGGCTATGCTACAGGGGTGGAGAATTCCAGTGAAATCAGAAGGTTTTTTAAATTGAAGACATAGAGCTGAGAGTTTTAAGAATCCAAAGTAACTAGAATTTTCAGAGAGGAGTAGGGGGTGGAGAGAAACAATTTCAGAGCTCTGCAGAGAGTATTTCTTAAATATTCATTTACATACCGAGTGTTGCTTGTAGATGAAGCCAGAAAGAACACAACTTGAAAAGATTAAAAATAAATATACTTAGAGCTTATAAGAAGCAGAAGATAGGGCCTACTTTCCCCAGCCAAACTGGAGAAAACTTGTGACCCACAGGAGATTGGATCTTGTTCAGTGGTGAATACCCTCAACTAATAACATGCTAATTACCTAATAAGTCTTAAGAATGAGACCCAAAAGGGACTATTTCCAAATAATTTAACTGCATACTAGAACAAAGCTCAGGCATATTTATAAAAGTATTATAAAATCCTTAACACCAAGCAAGAAAAAATACATAATACCTGAAACCTAATCAAATATTACCAGGCATACCAAAAAAAAAAAAAAAAAAAAAAAAAAAAAAAAAAAAAAAAAGGAAAATGAGATGCATAATCAAGATTAAAATCAATGAAAACCAATCCAGAAACAGATGTTGCAATTATCAGGCAAGTATATTATAAAGATATTATAATTCTGATTATTGGAAAAGTCATGTAGAGACATAGGAGTACAAAAGCCCCCGCAAATCAGAGTCCAGAGAAAAAATCTATAGTGTCTGAAGTGAGTAGCCACTGTCTGGAGTTAACAGATTATCCACTGAAGAAAAGGTAAATGAACTTGAAGTCATCCCAGTAAAAACTAGCCAAAGTGAAATATAAAGAAAAGCAATAATGTAGAAAAATGAAAATAGCTTCTGCAAGCTTTGGGACAACTTCAAAAGGCTGAATATATTTTTTCTTGGAGTTTCTGAAGAAGTAGGGTGATACAGGAACAGGAAAAAAATTCAAAAAAATGAAGGGAACTCCCAAGAGTTAATTATGAAAACTATGCAGTCACAAACCTAAGAAGCTCAAGAGAACAATGAATGTGAAATATGAGGAATCAGAAATCGGTATGTTATAACTGAAGAGCTCAAGCTGTAATTAATTTGCCCTAATGATAATGACGTAACATTATAGCAGCAAAAGGAACAACACACAGTTCATACCAAAGAAAAACCAAAAGAGTAATACCAGATTTCCCTCCAAGACTATAGAGCAGCATCCGCAACATACAGAACACAAATGTACGGTACATCTCTAAGTCTGTATCTACTGAAAATGTCCTCCTAAAATGAAGGTGAAATACAATTTTTAATACATAAAATAAGAGTTTGTCACAGATATGCACTATAAGAAGTGTTTAAAATAGTATTTATCAAAACGTAAAATGATTCCAGGTGGCAATGTGGATTTACTCAAGAGCTCCAAAGACAGTAATGAACTGATAAATGCTTAAGATTTTTTTCTGATTATTTAATCCCCTTTAAAAAATAAGCTTACAGTTTTAAGGAAAAAACCCACGTAGTAAATTTTTTTTAACCACATAGGTGTATGATCATGACTGTAGAATACTAATGGGGAGAGAAAAGGAAATATGTATTATACTGCAGATGAAGTGGTTTCACTCTGTAAGGTAGCCTAACACTATATATAGAAGCCCCTAAAATGGTAATAATACAAAGAGTTCTATCCAATAAACAAATAAGCAGCTAAAATGGAATCATTAAAATGTATGACAAAATCTAAAAGCAGACAAAAACAATCTAAAATGTTAATACAGCTAGAAAATTGTGAGATGATAGATTTAAGACTAATCATATCAATTATCATGTTAAAGATACTTGTTCTAAAAACTTTCCTTAAAACTCAAAGTGTGGAGGAGCAGATTTAAAACATGACCTTACAAACTGACCATATGCTATAGGAAATGCAGTGAAAATATAAGACAAAGGCTAAAAGAATGGAAAAAGATGCACTATTCAAATGCTAATCATAGAAAAACTGGCTTCACTTTATTAATATCATAAAATATAAATTTTAGCCCCTGCATAGTGGTACATGCCTGTAATCCTGACAGTACACAGAGCTGGGGCAGGAGGATCACACCCTTAGATACACAGCAAGTTTGAACTCATCCTGGAACTCTGTGAGACCCTGATTCAGAAAACCAAACCAAACAACCAAACAAGCTAGCAATATTATTAAGATCACGAAGGCAATTTTGCACTTCAAAAGGTGTCTAAGGTGTCATTTCGTCCATAGAACTCCTGCGTACCAATTCTTAGCAAACAACAGAGCTGCAAAACATACAAAGCAAACTTTGTTACAAGGAAAATGAGAAAAAATACACAAATATAGATGAAAAGTACCAATGATCATCTCTGAGTCATTAAATCCATTTTTCATTAATTTTTGCCACTTGTTTGTGGTGCATGGAGGTCACATTACTATAGGGAGTGATCCACACACATGCATGTCTGTATTGCTGTGTAGCAAGAGCTCCTCTTCCTGGATTTGAGCCACCGCCCAAGCTGATGCCAGCAGGGCTCTCGGGAGGCAGGGATTCCAGAGTGGAAGAAGCCGAGTCCAGGCTTAGGTTGGCAGTTGGGTTATTTATCCATGTCACCACTTCATCAATGTAAGGAGCACTTTTGTCCTTCAGCAGAGTTAGTGTGAGTTAGTGTGAAAGCCAGTTCTGCCCAGCTTTCGAAGGACAAGGAAGCCCCAGCTTACACAGGTAATAAACTAAAAGAAGAGTTGAGTAAATATGGAAAATTAAGGCAATGTTTTGGCACCACATGTGTGTATTTCTCTGTCCTGCTGCCTGCCCTCGTCTTGCTCTTGCTCTGTGAGACTGTGCTCTTTGCCTGCGGAGAACATTTGGTGAGCGTGAAGTGTGGCGAGTGTGTGATCAGAGGTCCCCCAGCACATGCCGTGTGCTCTTACCTGGACAGTGAAGCAGCGATCTGGTTCTGGCAGGTGGGTGAGGTCGTGCTGGGAAAGCCAAGCCAAGGAGGCCTCAGCAAGTGCCTGCGAGGGCTGCTCAGCTGCCTGCATCCGCAGAGTCTTGGATGTTGAGGGTCACTGTCTGTCTGTGCATCTGATGCATTTAAAATTCTTTATTTTCAGGTCTTTGATATTTTCACATCTGTTGCCTTATGATATCCTTAGGAAAGGACCCTCCTGAGCGCCTATTTCTCAGATGAGGGAAAATGAGGTAGCAATAGGGTTTTCTAAAAGGTTTTCATTTGAAAGTTCTTCCCCAGATAGCTGTAACCAAATGTTAACCTCCTGTGATTTTTTAATACCTTGAAATGAAATGTAAATCCCATCACGTCTTCCCATGCATAGGCTGTGTCTATTTAAGATAATTTTGCCACTGAGGGAGGAGCTGGGTTTTGTCCCAGGGAAAGGAAATCAGGAAATAAAAGGGAGTCGCTGTGCAGAGATTTGAGGTTTGCATCCACATGTCTGCATTAGAAGCCTGAGATGATGGGATTTCTCATGTTTCCACATTTCCTGTGCACATGACCTCGTACACAGAGTTTGATATCTTCATCTAAACACTGTAGTGCTATCCATGTACCCCACAGACCAGCCCTGGGTATTTGCTGTATTTTCATTCTTCTCAAAACAGCACTTTAAAAGAAAAAATACTGAATGTTTTAGAGATTTTTCTTTAAAAGAAAAAATGCTCTGAGACAATGACTGTTCATATTTACTATAATATAAATCAGCTAAGTAGACTTAATGTGAAACAATGGTATCAATGAGAACTATTCTAAAATAGTCCTAAACCCGTAGTTGCATAAAACACACACCAAGGGCAGTATCACTTGGCATACATAAATGCTGGTACAGATGACTTTGCCTACGATTAAGACCTGGATGGGACCTCATGATTATAAAACGTGTATGAAGCAGGTTTGGAACAAGACGGTAAATGAGAGAGATAGGACAGAGAGGTGATGTTGTAAAGACTAAATTAACTGCAGACTCTTCTATTTTCAGATCCTACGTGTCTACATTTTGATTTCTTTATTTAGTACTTAATTCCCTGTTTCCCTTTTATTCATATGCTTCTGACTTCCCTGGGTTTATTTCCATTCAGTTCTATATTTTCCTTCTGCCAAAGCTTCCCATGTTTTGTGTCAAGGGGGGGGGGAAGAAGGCCTTTTTAGCTTCTTGTCTGTTTAACATTTCAAGTTATTTTTTCTTCCCTCCCTCCTTGTCTTGTAACTAATGAGCAAATGATCTAAAAATAGATCCGTTCATCCTTCTACAAAATGTTGTATCTTTCCCAGATTGGAGGCCGCTGTAATTGTAAGAGACATGTGTCTGGCAGACAGTGCAATCAGTGCCACGCTGGATTCTACAGCCTGCAAGAGTTGGATCCTGATGGCTGCCGCCCCTGCAGCTGCAATACCTCGGGGACGGCAGATGGAGATATTACCTGTCACCCAAATTCAGGACAGTGCAAGTGCAAGGCAAACGTTATTGGTATGTGTAATGCAGGAGGGTGCAGTCACATCTCTATTAACATCTGGAAAAGAATTCTCCATTTGATTTCTTAACAGAAGAGTAAAGCAAATTTCTTTGCTTGACACAGGCAGGGAAAGGGAAAAAAATAACAATTTAGATGGCATTAACTGTCTAAAAATGATTAAATGAATAATTCTATCCAGCTACAGTTTGAAGCTTAGTTTAATCAACCCTTAGAAGTTTCTCTATTCTGTAGATGCATTCTTTCACATGGCCCCACACTAATAAGTCATAGAAAAATATAATTTTCTTGCTGCATAGATGTTTCTTTTAGAAAATTAGCACTTTTTCAAAATGTTTTACACTTAATGAGTTCTAAGCAAATCATTTCCATGTTAGTTTCTTTAATAGACCAAAATAAATGGAGTTAAAAAAATATTCTGTGCTATGGGCTCCTTTGTGATAAATCTTTCCATTTTTTCTATTATATTTCTTTGAACTATTCCTATGAAATGCAAAATAAGTCAACATAATTCTACAGATCACGTATATTGCTAGGGTTAGTTATACAAGGGCACATAATTTTAATTTTGTAATTCAGTACCAAGCTGATTATAATAAACACCTACCTTTGGTGTTATTTATCATTTTTTTTATACGAGACGTGCTTTTTTGTTTGTTACTCCCACAGGTATTTTTCAGAAATTAGATTTGATTATAGCAATTTATTACATCCAACATTTTTGAGGGGAACCTCCGCCACATAAGGACAAAATTTATCAAGTGCCCAAAACACACTATGTATGTAATGCACTTTGAAACTTTGATATATGAGAATATTATGGGAGGCAAGTTTCCTGATGGAGTGAGCCCTATATTGTAACTGAACACGACTTGGCTCATACAGGAAGTTTAAAAAGGACCTTTGCCTTGCTATTGTCATTCAAGACACCAAGTCATCCTGGCTTTTTCTTACATTGACCTGACCTTATAATAATAAAAAATGCCCGGCAGTGATCCTCCCTCCCCCTCCCCCTCTCTCTCAACATGGGTGCATAATACCATATACATATGCATGCACATATCATTCTAAATGATATTTTTATTTTTGCACTATACGTCAGTCTATTTACCTTTTGTCTATTGTAGATATACACAGGTCATACTATGTGAGTCAGATAGATGAGTATTTTGACTTGATTTGAGGGAAAAGAAACCAATATGGACAGGCCTAATGCTTCTACTCAAACTCTGTAGTAATAAAGGTTTGCACTAAAATGTACATCATTTGCCCTTGGGCAGCTTGAGCGTGCAAGCACTGGCTTTTCAGAAAGAGGAATAAATAATGTGTAAGGAGAAGCAAATCTTTGATTTAAAATTATACAGTATCTTTTGTCCTTTAATGTGATATATGCACATATATAAATATATATATAATATGTAAATTATATATTTAATATATATAATTAAAGGTGTGGAAAGAGAAGTTAAAGGTCAGTATATGCTCAATGGTTAGATTGCAGAGTTTGAGAAAAAAATCAAAATTTACCTAGATTTATTGTGACCATCCTGCCCATTAGCATTTTATTTTGTTGCAGATAGTTTTCTCGAGGAAAACCTAATATATATATTTTATGAAAACTAAATCATCATTTAAATATTATGCTATTATTTCTAGAGTTATTTTGTACCTGAAGTATTTGTAGTAGAGATACAAACTTGACATATGTACATATGTATATATATTTTTTTTCTAGTAGAATTAGCAAATAACTTTATCCAGTATTACCATGTTAATATTAAAAAAATTAGCTCTAAACCAGGAAAACACAAGGGCATGTTGTATATGCTTCAGAAAGCAAACTGTTAGAGTTAACAAAACTGTTAAATCTCACTAATGATTCCATCACCAGTAAAATACATTAGCACCAATAATTTTATTAAAGTAGGTCATTCATCTAGAATAAAAAGGGGGAAGAATGTGAATTAAATGCCAAGTATGCTAAGTCGCCTGTGCTAACTTGTTAGCACCGAATGCGATGCCCTGTAGGCCTCCCTGAGTATCGTTAGGAATAGATTACCTGTCAGGAATATGTATGGCATATTCAAATAAGCACTGCGCATATTTTTAAAACTGATATGATATGAATCCATGTAGACCAATTTTAATAGTTCAAAATGAGTCATAATTCTTGTTAACAATACAGTTATTTTTAAAATTTGCAGCAATAGTGGCCCTTTTTTATTTTCCTTATTGAAATTAAATGATATGCCTTAGGTGGCTCATTCATCACTGATAAGGAACTTGCCTTCCACTGGAGTTCTTGAATTTTTATCCACATATACACACCCGTCATATGCATTCCCTCCCAGCTTGGGAATGCTTTTTCTACATACGAGTTCCTGAGTGTGCTTTTGACTCTTATTTTAGACCTAATTTTTATTGCTATTGCAGTTTGAAATAAATGCTTTTATTGATTCAATGCTCCAAGTTACTTAAATCCATGGCTATCTAAAGACCGACTGTTTGCATCTAGGCCTTCACTCTCAGTTGTTTCCAGTTCCTTTGCCTTGTTGATCCCCTTTTTGAGATGAACCTAACTTGTCAGAGATTTAACTTCAAACATTTTTCTTTTTGTAAAATCTGCATATACTTTTTAAACACAGAAGTGACATAAATAGCAGAATTGACTTGGTGTTTAAAGAGGTATGTTCTGAATCACATAATTTGACAAGCAATGTGATTGCTTTATGAGCCAAGGAGAACATAATTTATTTTAATCAAAAATGATAAAATATAGGAGCGTACAAAAGGATTAAAATAAAAATTTCTCTGGATCTGTTTTATTTATATCAATTATTTCAATGTGGAACATATACAAGTAATTGTATATAGTCTTGCTACAAAAATAGTTATCACTTTAATGTTTTATTTTATTCATTCTCCCCAGCTTTATTAAGATACAGTTAATAAATAAATATAGCTAAATATAAATAAAATTGTATATTTTTACAGTGTGCAAGATAATGTATGTATGTATATGTATAAATATATGACCCTGATCCTAATGAAAGATAATTGTCATATTGTTCATCTCACACTCTCATTTTTAAAGATAAAATCTTATCAGTTTTCAAGAATACAATGCATTACTTTCACCTGTAGCCTACCTGATGTAGCAGACTGGATCTCCGGAACTTATTTATTCTACCTAACTGAAACTTTGTAACCAGCCTAACATCTTATTCAATACTTTTAAGAAACTGTGATTTCTAGGAAAATAATAACCTGCAATTCTGCACATTTAAATGACCATATGTTGTTAAAATGGTTTTAATATTTATGAAAAGGGAAAAGAGCCACTGGACGCATAACAGGAACAACATCTATGTTAACACTTTTTTGGTGAGAAGTAACAAATAGCAGTCTAGTAAAGCACACTGCCCAGAAGGCTGGGAAAGAAACCTCAGCTGAGGATCGCCCTGGAGAATGGAGCAGGTGATCCTCGCTCTGTAGGGTCGCGTATGAGAAAAGACCTGATATTTTGTGTCTGTGCTGAATGTCTGCAGTGTCACCGTTTATGCCACAGCTATTTGGAAGGGCAATATTTTTTTCCCATTCTCATCTTTCTAAACATCCTTTATTTTTAGGGCTTAGATGTGACCACTGCAACTTTGGGTTCAAATTCCTCCAAAGTTCAAACAACGAAGGATGTGAGCCCTGCGAGTGTAACCTCCATGGCTCCGTGAGCCAGATCTGCCATCCTGTTTCTGGCCAGTGTGAGTGTAAGAGAGACGTCCGAGGACTGCGATGTGACAGATGTGGGGAGCACTTCTACGGGCTGGATGCCACCGGCTGCAAGGCCTGCAAGTGCCACGTGGCTGGCTCCATCTCTGGGACCATCTGTGACGCTGAGACAGGACAGTGCCGCTGCAAGCCCAACGTGGGAGGCAGACAGTGCGGGGAGTGCGTGGAGGGCTATTTTTCCCGATGGCAGAATGACTCTTTCCGCTGTCTGCCCTGCCACTGTGATAAATCTGGGACAGTAAATGGCTCTCTGCTGTGTGACAAAGTGACAGGGCAGTGTCCCTGCCGATCAGGGGTGACAGGTCTGCTCTGCGACCAGTGTGAGCCCCACAGGTACAATCTGACCACCGAAGGCCACTTTCAGAGCTGCGCAATGTGTGAGTGTGACTCTCTGGGGACACTACCTGGGACCACGTGTGACCGGATCAGTGGTCAGTGTGTGTGTCTGCCTCGTCGTCAAGGAAGAAGGTGTGATCGGTGTCAGGCAGGTAAGACACAGCTTATTATCTTCAGGTCTGAGATTTCCTTTTGTTACCTTACAACAGGTGATGCTTTCTGGTTTGCTATTCCTCTGTTTCTGAGCTTCCAAGATTCATCTGCAGCATCGCTACTGGGTTTATGCATCACCCAACATAGATAAAATTATCTCACTTATTCAAAATTTGTGTTGCAGTTTTGGCAGGAGGCAGGCACTGTGGAGGACCCTCAGCCATCAGATTTATACTTGTGAATTTCTCAACTTGAAGTAGATCTTCTTTTAGCATGTGAAAAATTTTGATTAAGAAATCAGGACCAAATGTTATTTTCCAGGGAAAGAACAACACGAGTTGATTACCTAACTCTGCATGGCTAGGATACAGCGTACAAGATTTGACCTGTAGCTTCCATTTGAAATTGGTCAGTGTGACAAGTGAGTCTAAAGAGACAGGAAGGAATTGAGAAATTGTTCATCCTTTGCTTGAGATATAAGCTTCAGAAACCAACAGAACTAGTGTGGACTCTGATGTGGAATGTATTATACATGATGGCCCATAAAGTGAAGACTAGGGAGCAGTGCTGACCATGAGGACTTAGGAAGCTGCTATTGCTACATGGCCATGACGTGGTCTCCATTTCACTCCCTTTCTCTCTGCAGAAGGGCACTGTCCTTCCCTGTCCCTCTACTCACAGTAATGTGACCGCTTTATAACCTGATACTGCTTATGATGCTACTTGCAGCTACACACAGAGGTTTAATGCTGCCTCTGGGTTACACTTCCAAGAGGGAAATCCTAACTGACTTAGCTGTCTTTGAGTGGCTGCCTCTGAGCCAGAAATATCAGGTCCATCAAATGGATCTGGCTTCTAGGAAGCACACCTCTGAGGTAGGAGCAAGGTGGTAAATATCTCAGCAAAAGGGAAGGTTATCGGGATTGGGCAGGCGGTACCTGGGACAGCTTCTGCACACTGTGACCTTTTAATTTCAGATTTACCCTTCCAAATTTGCAACCAGTTCATGGTTTTTGATGTACTGAGGAAACAATTTTAAAAAGCATTTTACTTTTCTGATTAGCTCTACTTTTAGAAACAAGGTACCCAGTGTTTTACAAAATCTTGTTACTGTAATGTAGATATCTTTCCTAAGAAAACTGGTCAGTCTCATAGGTTACATGTTATATCCTTTGGAGTAATTTCCTTCTGTTAAAAGGTTTTATTCTGATATGATTGTGCATAGAACACAGGTCACATTGTAAGCAACTTTTACAAATTAGGCTAACACTCTGAGATCAGTACAGCAAAACAGCAGTCCCCTTTGGTCCTTTCAGAGGAAGCCTTGGTGCATCATGCCAGATAGTTTGTCTTTCCAGTGTGCTTAGATGATGGACTGAAATTCCTCATCATCCTTACTGTGGTTTTTAAAATTTGTCTTTGTGTTACATAGGTGAGTTAATCAAGTACTGGCTAAATGAAAAAGCAGGTGTTTCTTTATCTCTATTATGTGAAAGCCTGTCCAAGCTGGGTCTTCACTGATTTCATTGCTCTTTCCCTTCGTCTGGTGGTCTTCTGGTGGTCCTCTCTATTCCCTTATCTGAGCTCTCTTCTCCCACCCGTGTCTCTTTTCCATGTCTTTCAGTGGTGTGGGTACAGTGATTCCCTGGAGCTCTCTTATTTTGTCTTTCTCCCATAGAGTTCTTTCACTTTTCACTCAATTCCAATCTGGTCCAACCTTCAGGAGTTTCGGTCTGGACCCACTCTGTGCATCTAGCTTGATAATAATAGTTTAGTAATGCTTGACTCATTCTCCTTTGTTGGCCACTGCAGATAGCCTGCGTGCTATCTAGTTTGCCTGTAGAGCTGATTTCTACCTGAAAGCTTAGGTTTGTTCCTCTTTTGCTCATTTCATTGCCAGCAAATTTTTGTGAGTACCAGGCATTCTTGCTATAGCCAATTGCTATAAAGTATCGATTTCTTTCTTACGGAACAGGAAGGAATGGAATGCTGGATAGCCATCATTTTTAGTGTTTGGTGCTCTCTGAAAGTTTTCTCTATTCAAAATTCTGCCTGTAATTCTCCATCAATAACTCAATGAAGTGAAATTTTCAGTTAATATTGAGCATCCATGTTTTAAAAGGTGGCTTTGTTTACATCCATAGAATATAATGAACTTTTGAAAATGCTCCCAGGCTTGCATTTTCCTCATGTGCTATTTATAGTTTTTCTTTAAAGAGAAGGCCATGTTTAAGATATGCTCGTAGATATCTCATGGTAAGTAGTTGTGCATGCGTCTTTCTTTCTTCTGTGGGTGCTATGCCATGGTATGGGCCATGCCATGGATCCACTTAGCTGCAAGAGAGGCGGGCATTTAGGTTCCCAATCTGGACATCCATGTATCCAATGAAAACTTTATGCCTCTGTTAGTACAAGTGATAAGAAAGTGATTGACACTTGACAGCAGTCGTGGCTGTGGTAAGAACATCCTGTGTTTATAAAGGTGGCTCAAGAAACTCCTGAATATGCTTCTAGGACAGTGTGTTTGGTAATTTTTGGATAACTTCGATTACTAGTAATTTTTTTAAAAAATGGCTAAAATAACTGCATGCAACAAAATATAATAATCTCATTCTAGCTTTTAATACATCTATGCCTAGGTTAATGCCTAGGCTTTTGCTGGGCAGGGGCACGTAGGAGGCGAACAGGGGCCCAGTCAGCCCAAGCATGGAAGAAGCAGAGCGAATGGGAAGAAGCCGTGCCTGTGTAGCTCCTCAGATATTCACAGGGCTTGGTACTCTTTTTAAACAAGAGGCTAATTATCTTTCCTTTACTCTAATCAAAGAATGTTTTATTTGCAACATTGAGCTTCAATTCTGATGTAGAAACTGGCAATAACTACACTTAACAAATACAGAAGGGGAATAAATCAAACCCACAGTGAGCAAAATGCCTTATTATTATCTGATGAGTGTGAGTGCCCATTCTTTATGTTCCTGATTGAGTTATTTGATTGGTTGATTGATTACTTCTTTGAGGATTGAATCCAGCGCCTCTGCACAGGGCTACATCCCCAATCCATTTTCTGTTTTCTGTTATGAGATGAGATCTCCCTAAGTCTCCTACTTGTGCAGCCTTGTAATCTTCCTGCCCCAGCCTCCCAGAGTGGTTGAATCAGAGGCATGAACCGTGCACACTGTGCTCTGTGTGTGCTGTGATTTCTTTTCTTTTCTTTCTTTCTTTCTTTCTTTCTTTTTTTTTTTTTTTGGTCCCGGGGATTGAACTCGCAACCTTGTGCTTACAAAGCAGGCACTTACCCTGCTGAGCTAAACCCACAGCCCCTGTGATTTCCTTTAAAGAAGTGGACAAATACTTTTGCCAAAGGCCTTTGGAAGGAGTTTTGTGGTACCTATTGTTAGAAAAATGAAACTAAAAAATTATTCTAAAAAACACAATCTGTATTAGGTAAACCCCAGATGGAAAGGGCCGGGAGGGGATAGGAGAACAGAAATAGGGAGAGGTGAAGGGAAGATTGAGATTAATTTTTCAGTTCTTTCCACTTTTGGATTTAACTTGTATTATTTTTATCAAAATTTAACGAGTGTAATTTTAAAAACCAAATAAATAGGAAGGCTCATGATACAAAACAGCAGTCCTAACTGAAACTGTCTTCTGAAATTCTTCTTGTTCAGAGCAACTACATTTAAATTCTTTCTGGCTTTGATTCCTATATTTTTAAATAACAGGGATATATAGTTCAATGCTAATTTTTAAGATGTAGGAATTGTCTAGTGTCTTTCTACCACAGAAGACAACATATTTGTTCCTGTTCAACGATTTCTCTGTTGGTTACCCTGAAATTCAGGGATTATTATGTAAAATGCTATAAATCCACTTCAGAGCTATGACATTCACTTTGATTATATTCCCTTTCTTGAAAATATCTGCCTTTGTATAGTTTTCTGGAAATCCCCTAGGTATTTCTAAAAAACAAAACTCTCCAAGAGATGGACCCACGGGGGTCCATCTCTCGGTTTCCACGCAGGACTGCTAGGTTTCCAGGAAGGTGGGGTTCCTGGGCCCCGCTCCTGCCCGGGTGACCCCTCCTCCCTCATGTGCTCCTCCTGGAGGTCTCCTGTTAGCATCTGTCCAGGAGCTTTTCTTCACCCAGCTTCTGTATTAAACCCTCTATTTCCAGAGTCATAAATGCTCTTTTCCTGTGTGTGTGTGTGTGTGTGTGTGTGTGTGTGTGTGTGTTATTTTGGGAATTCAGAATATCTGAAATTGTCTTCAGTGTCTGAAAGTGTTTGGAATTTACTGCTATGTGGAATCATTTTCACTCAAAAATCTAAATAATTGTACCATTATCTTGTAGTAGTGCTCACCATAGTCTAGTCTAACTTTCCCTTCCTTCCCTCTTTCCTTACCTCCTTTATATATCTTTCTTACTTTCTTTCTTCTCTCTCTTTTCTCTCCTCCTCTCTTCCTCTTTCTTTTTTCCCTTCTAGAAGTTTTTACCACTTCCTATATCCATGGCTTCAGAAGAGTTCATGATGTACTTTTTGTTGAATAATTGTTCTAGTCATTTGTCAGACCATTTTGTTTATAGAGTCATGTTCTTATGTTCTAGAAAAATCTACAAATCTCTTTCCCAGCAACACCTATGCCAGTGTTTGATCCATCAGATGACTAGACCATGTGGCAAAATCAACCCCAAGTGAAGCACCCGTGCACCCTTTCGTTTACCCTCTGTCATTCCCGTCCTTGAAGATCAATGATAACTCACATCTGATTTCAGAAATCACTAAAGTTTTCATTTCCAAACTATTTCTTTCCTTGACTTCAGAAGTCAGATCAATGTGTTTATTGCTGGACTGCCTACTGTGAATCTTTAGCTTTTTCTTCTAGAGATCTGTAACGGGCTGCCATTTTCTTTCCCATTGTTCAAAAAAAATTCACTTTGGGTGACTTCAGGATAGAGGAGGAATGGTTGACTACCATGTTTAGCCATGAATGTCAC